GAATTCGGGAAATTTAATAAAAAAAAAAAAAAGATCGTTTTTTTTTCCGAAGATAACTCGAATTACCTTTAGGGGAAGTTTTCTTCTTGAAGATGTTGAGGTTCATTTTCTTTAATTTTTTTGGGCTGCAAAAGCTGACCCAGATTCTGAGATACCCAGCAAAGAAAAACCCTAAAACTGGAATTGAGAAAAAAATTAGGGCAAATCTTGAGAAGAACGATTTTCTTGATGGTGAAAGTGGAGGAAGGAGACACTATTTGCCTCGAAGAACGTGCTTTTGTTTATTAAACGGCTATCATATGACTAGCCGTTGTAATTGATTGAGCAAAAGTCTAATAAATATCTTTAAAATACTTTTTGAGATTTTAAGACTTTTTGTATATTTAATTAATAATTTAAATTTTTTTAATTTTTTTTTTAAAGATGTTTTGTTTTAAAAAATGTTAAAAAAAATCTTGAGTTATGAATTTTAAGGATGATTGGATATAAAAAAAAATGGTTTTGTTTGATTTTTTTGTTTGGTTTGATTAGTTTTGAAAAAGTTGGTATGATTAGTTGTTAGTATGTATATTAAAATAATATTTAAAATCAAATGATTAAAGTTGATTTGATGTAAAGTAGGAGAGAGGAGATTTGAAGTGATAGTTAGTTAAAATTATGTGAGTACACTACAAGAAAATAGAGCTCTAGTGAAGAATTTTTTTGTTACTATGTTGTCACTATATCTACAGTTGTTGTCACTATATCTACAATAACTGTAGATATAGATTGTTATAGATATAGTGGCAATAATTGTAGATATAGTGACAACAATTGTAGATATACTGACAGTAGATATAGTGACAACAATTGTAGATATAGTGACAAAAATTTTTTTCACTCAAACTCTATTTTTTTGTAGTGGTAGATGAATAGTGAATTAAGGTGATGTGGTGTGTAAGAATGATTGATTTGGTATTATTTAATTATGTTGAAAATATTGATGATAGTGGGGTTGAGTTAAAGTTGATTTAAAAAAAAAAAAGTGGTTGAGTTAAAAATGTTTGGATTTTTTTGAGATAATTTTGTATCCGAGCATGCTCTTATTGTTCTTCGCTTGAATTTGTATGGATTTTATAAGTCTTACTCGGATTTCACAAACAAAAAAAACTTATATGATTCAAGTCAATTCCACCTTCAAACATAAGATTTCAAATAATTCATCTTAAATATGAAAGTCATAAAAACTTTAAGAGAAAAATTAAAATACCACTCGAAATCTCAAATGGATACACCATCTATAGCTGGTGGAAGAATTATATTTTCTAATGTAAAAATAATTTGTTATAAAAATAAGAATTAATTTTGATGTGATGGATAAATAATAAATCTAGTTCGGTTTGGACCAAACTGAATATTTAATTCGGTTTTTTATTTATGTTTCCGTAAAATTTCATTTTTCGGTTCAGCTTGGATATAAATGCTCGGTTAACCAAATCGAGAACTTATATTATACATAAATTTATAAATTCTAATAAAATGGTATATTATCTACACCCAAGCCCATTGATACAAAATAATTTAGAAGAAAAACAAATTAAAAGTCCACTAGCTAGCATAATGTTAGATGTCGAAAATCAGAAGATCAACTGTCGAATTCCTTGTATGGAATATGAAGAAGAAATGATAAAAGTGGTGTTTTCTGTTTATTATTTTGAGAGAATTTCATTCTCTTTTATGAGTTCTTGAGAGGGAAAGCCATGGGGAAGAAGACCCCCTCTCTACTCTTTTTTTACATATAAATATCTCCTTCATTTTCTACAAGTGCCTGGTTGAAATCAATAAATAAAAGATAATATATTAATTATCATTTGATGTAACCATTGTGGGACCCGCTTATGATTTTGATGGTTTCGACTAATGTCTATCTTCCATACCATTGTGATGTCTACCGGAGGCGGATTCTTTATGGTATTGACGTCATCCGAATACTTTGGACACTTTATTCGGCTCGACAATGGGCGGACTCGACATCTGGGGACCCGATCGGCTTTCGAGGGATCAGTTTGGAGAATCTGTTTGTATATTTATTTCATCGTGTATTTTCGGCTTTTCGATTATTGGGCTGTTCTTTATAATTTCATTTCATTTATTATTTAATTAATTAGAGCGAAGTTGAGTATCAACACATGAGCCTACGTTTTTTTTCCTACACTAATAATCAAACCAAAATAAAAATACAATAGTACAACCTAATAGCCTATACCAATTCAGGAATCCTCAAAACATGCTCATCTCCCACAATACTTAATGTTTTTAATCATGTGTATACATAATATATATATATTGTGACGTTAGATAGATATCAACCATAATAAATTAGCGTAAATAATTTCATTAAGTGGGTAAAAAAAAAAATAACGGTTCAACTATTATTTAGAGTATTTAAGTGTAAAAATGGGTCATTATGCAAAGCAAGAGGGATCACCAAACATAATAAAATGATGAACACAAATTTAAAGGGGGAAATAAAGTATATGTTGTATTCGTGAATATATATATATATATATTTTTTTGTTTTTCTCTGAAATGTTAAGGGCCGACTTTATATACATAAAACGTAGAAGAAAAATCATGATATCAATGTGCCAGCTAAGGGTGCAGGCGAGTGACACACGTCGCCATGCAAGAACTTCTATTTTGATGATGTGACTGATTGAACGAATGCTTTATCAATTGTCATTTTATAATGTATAGAGATCGACAAAAGATAGATCAATGTGTCGACTAGTAGATAGCCACTCTAGTTTGTCGGTAGATCGACGCAAGACTATGATTATGCGGATTCTTAGGCTTCTTGTCTTATAGCATGATTGATATGAGAGAATGACCTGAGAATGAAATGATCATCCCTTTACTCATTCCTTATCCCAATCATTATATATATA